AACCAATATGACCCGTCGCACAAGAGGTGGCTCCCATGGCTGAAGTGTCCTAGTGGATAACACTTTGGCATTTGGAGCTGTGGGCACTGGGTTCGAGCCTCCGTGGGGACAAAATCACTCACTGGGGACTTCAGGTACACATCCGCTGGCTGATGGATGAATCTCAAATAGGATGAAATACGCATCCTAGATTCCACTGCTAATCACCATCCGCCAAGTAACTTATCATGTGGCAAATCTTCCGAACGTCAGTAATAACGGTGATTACAATGATAAGAAAATATTGATAATAAGGTGCCAGTGCGTTGGTGGTGCAATGGTAAAAAATCTCGCTGACCGTGCGCATGGTCCGGGGTTCGATCCCCATCCCGCGCATTATTTTACCTCGCTAAACTGGAAATAAAGCCGGTAAAGAGGGGAGGTTGGGTATGAGACTAGCAACCCCATCCTGTAAAACTAAACACTGCTACCAAAAATTTGGGCACTGTGCTGGTAGAGCATAACTCCATTATGATGGATGAGATTTTAATCTGATAAATCACACAGTGTTGCTTTACAGTAAGTAATATTAACTGATGACCACATTTCGAGCATAAGCTATTGCCACTCATAATCATCATATCAAGTTGATATGATGTGATTATGGCTCTATGTTCCACTGGGAAAATGAAGGAATAAAAAATTAACCAAACGTTTGAGTTGTGCATACACACAACTCAACCTTCATCAACAGCCAGCTGTCTTCGCTCAATACTACTCAAGATCATCAGAAGGCCTGCCAGAAGAGATCACCAGTAGAGAGGGATTTCTGGAAACGAACCAACTCAGAAAGAATCAATTGTGCAACAAATATGCAGGAAGAAATTGAAGCGGATTGGTCATACTCTCAGAAGACAAACCATCAATTGACATCACACGCCAGGATAGGATATCACTTGAGTGGAACCCGAATGAAAGGTGGCGGGTTAGTCGTCAGTGTGAGGAGGAGGTGATGTGAAGAGGAGATGAAAGCATGTGGGCAGATGCAGAGCCATATGAAAACGTTGGCGGAGAACCGAACTCAGTGGAGATGTGAGTGAGGCTGAAGCCCTATATTTCTCTAGGAACGAAAGAAAGCAATAAAACAATAATAATGCACAACTCGAGTTGTGCATAAAATCCCAAAATACGGGATTTCTCTAAAGTATGGCACTATATTATTATGTAAAATAATGAACATAATATACAAACCCCAAACTGTGAGGTGCTTGTGATTGATTGAATGCCATCAGATAGACTGTTACTGTGTGACGAACGATCTACAGTCAGATTAAAGAGCACGTGAATGCCTAGATAAGGAAAGGAATAAAGGGATTAGAATAAATTAAGTTCAACACAATGTGGAATCTTTAAATATTCCCATTATTCATATTAGAACAAGACATATAAGAGAATAATATTATTGTTTTCAGTTAGATCCTCTTCAGGCTTTACTCTAATTTACATAGATTTATATATAACAAATTTAACCAATGACGGTGAATTTGTGGATGTGGATCAAACAGTAATGATAGTGTGGTACATTTAATTGAATTTTAGATTTTCGCGTCGATTGATTGGACCAAAAGTGCTCAGTTTCAGATTGGCATATCGGCTTCTTGTGCAGATGCTTCGACGATGTCTGGGTATGTATTTAGAAGTTAAGTGGTGGATGGTGATTAGCAGTGGAATCTAGCCAGGATGCGCAATTCGTCCTACCTACCTGTGACTCGTCAGCCAACTGGATGTACCTGCAGAAGAACAAGAAGCCGACATGTCAACCTGAGACCGAACACTTCGGTCCAATCAATGGACGGAAAAATCTGAAACTCAATTCAATAATCGTTATGACCCGTCTCACAAGAGGTGGGTGGCTCCCATGGCTGAAGTGTCCTAGTGGATAACACTTTGGCATTTGAAGCTGTGGGCACTGGGTTCTAGCCTCCGTGGGGACAAAATCACTCACTCACTGGGGACTTCAGGTACACATCCGCTGGCTGATGGATGAATCCCAAATAGGATGAAATACGCATCCTAGATTGATTCCACTGCTAATCACCATCCGCCAAGTAACTTATCATGTGGCAAATGTTCCGAACGTCAGTAATAACGGTCGGTGATAACAATGATAACAAAATATTGATAATAAGGTTTCTGCACTGCAGATGAGGTGATAAGAATAACAAAGGTAGTGAGTGAGTGATATGTGTATATGTAGACAATTCAATCAATAAATAATTTATGTCAAATCTTAAGAGTTACGTAATACCAAAGGTATAGTGGATGTATTATCACAGTTAAATAAATATCATAAAAGTATGAAGGAAATGGAAAATAAGAAAGGGTGGGAGGGTTTTGATTAGAATTTAACTAGGCAAGCAAGGGAGAGACAATGGTAGAACAAACTTCTTTAGCTGTCTGCAAAGACTAGGATTGTTCTCTCGAATTAATTCCCATAGCTTCGGCTATGTGTAGACGGCGGGTTCAAATTTCGTTCCAATGGTTCGATAGAATGCAACAGATAACTGTGAAGGCACTATTTCTGTCCACTTGGTGACCGCTATCAATCAAATGAAACAAAATAGAACTTCGTCTAGATTTCACTCCGCCTTTTCCGAACAATGAGGCAAGGTAGATGCTGAGTAATGATGCGTCTGTTGAGCTGTCTAGTATTTCGCCGTATATAGTTTTCTCCACAGAAGCAGCTAAATTTGTAAATGTACTTAAACGTGCTAAGTGGAATATAAACAAAGCATTCAAAAGCACATATCATCTAAGTATTCTAAGATAATTACTATAGAATACTAATTCCTTAAATGAGATAAACTTCAATAGCAATCAACAGTGATGGTTAGGGAGTGAAAACATAGTTAACAAATATATATGTATATGCTTACACTACTAACTAGTAATAAGTAGTATAAATTTAAACACAAAGGAATGATAATAGTCTCTAAGCTCGCCTTGTAACCAGAAGGTCCTGGGTTTGAACCACTCGCGGTGGGTGCCTACCAATAAAGAGTATCAAACTAGGATGAAACAGCTGTCCAGTACTCTCTGAAGGGTTTCCCAGTGGTTGTCTAACTGATATCAGCTCATGATGAAATCCTCTAACCAATCAAGAAAATTGGAAACATTTATTTCCCGATACGAATTTAAAACAAGCAATAAAGTTTAATAAAGCAGGATTTAATGAATTCATCAAATTTCGGTAGAACTCGTCAGCTGAATACTCTACATACACGGATATATACTTTTGAAATTACATTGGGAGATATAGGACTGATAAGTAAATAAACTACATTGAATTAGTCATGCAGAAAGACAGGTGCGAATGTTTTTTCCAGGTCATGTGCAATTAGATAAGGGGAGAGAGAGTATGGGAGATCAAAATTAAGATAAATTGCATTACGCTTCAATTACATCACTTAGATAAACAATTAGACATTAGAGAATTTAACAAGAATTGCAACCAGAGGGATGTCAATAGTAATAGTTATAATAACAATAATATAATATAACAATAATAATAATAATAGTGTTGAAGTGGGTTAAGATAATGCTACTGATAAAGGATAGTTTTAAATGAATCAAGAATAATAATAATAATAAAATAATAATAAGAGGTAGAATTGTAAGTAAAACGTATTACCATGGTAGATTCAGAGTCACGACCATCTCCCTTTGCACACAGAGACCTGGTTTGTAAACTCGAATTGCACAAGCCTCTGCAATTGCAAGCATCTTCTTGTTTCTTTGTCTGCTGACAATGGTGAATGACTTGACTGCGTCGATATCATGCCCGTAATCCACAAGATGCTTTGTTATTGAGGATTTTGGCACTTTGAACTCGGCTGTTTTCAACCATTTTGGCAAATGCTCCATCATGCGAGTAGACAATCTCCTTTCCGTACGACCTATGTATTTGCTTCCACAAACACACTCAAATTGATATACGCAGTTTGAAGTGTCGAGGATTGGCGACTGGTCTTTCCCAGATTGTTGAAGCACTCGCTTAGTGGTGTTAAGGAAAACAAGTTTTGCAGCATAATAAGTTCTCTTGATGGCTTTGTCGAGTCTTCGTTTGACTACTTCCTGTACATCATCTCCTTTGAACGGCAAGTTGATGTAGACAGGTTTCTTCGGAACTGTTTGGATTGTTTTGCAGCGGGTGTTTTCTTTAGAGTATTTATTAATGAACTTCTCAGGGTATCCATTCTTTGATAAGATATCCTTCAGGGATTTTGTTTCATACTCAACAGTACTGTCAGAACAAATTTTTCGTACTCTATTGAACAGTGTTCTGAATAAGTTCTTTTTGTACTGGATTGGAACAAAACTCTTGAAATGCATGTACTGTCCTGTCCATGAGGACTTTCTAAATATAGATCTTTCGATTGTGCCATCATTCATTTTCGCCAGAAAAACGTCTAGGAATTTGATAGTATCATTTTCCTCGTGTTCTACTGTGAAATTGAGATTTGGATGGCATGAGTTGAATTTTATCAGCATGTCTTCGGCTTTTGATCTGCTTCCACAGGCAATAAAAATGTCATCAACATATCTTAGGTATAGATCCGTTTCTTGTATATGTTGTTGCAGGGTACCGGTTTCTAGGCGTGATAAGAATAAGTCAGCGAAAAGTGGTCCCAAGGGGCTTCCCATTGCGACACCATCAACTTGACGGAATAAACGCCCGTCGAATTGGAATTGGACATTTTTGGTACATAAAAGTAGCAATTTCCTCAATTCCGACGTTGGAATGGGTATGTCTTCAGCTTCTTCACATATGAAGTCTATAGTCTCAATGACTGGCACATTTGTGAAGAGGGAGGTAACATCGAAAGAGACTAAATGTTTATCAGATACGTTGAAATCTTTGATTTGCTCGACAAACTGGAATGAATCAGAAACGATATACTTCCCAAAGCGTTTCCGCAGGGGCTCAAACATTTCACATAACCACTGTGCTAATTTGTGGTATGGTGAGTTTATCATAGAGAGTATGGGTCTTAATGGCGCTCCTGGTTTGTGTATTTTAACACGCCCGTATAGTTTTGGGATTTGTGACCCGATCGGCTTATTATAACTATTACTATTGACATCCCTCTGGTTGCAATTCTTGTTAAATTCTCTAATGTCTAATTGTTTATCTAAGTGATGTAATTGAAGCGTAATGCAATTTATCTTAATTTTGATCTCCCATACTCTCTCTCCCCTTATCTAATTGCACATGACCTGGAAAAAACATTCGCACCTGTCTTTCTGCATGACTAATTCAATGTAGTTTATTTACTTATCAGTCCTATATCTCCCAATGTAATTTCAAAACTATATATATCCGTGTATGTAAAGAATTCAGTCCTATATCTCCCAATGTAACTTCAAAAGTATATATCCGTGTATGTAGAGTATTCAGCTGACGAGTTCTACCGAAATTTGATGAATTCATTAAATCCTGCTTTATTAACCTTTATTGCTTGTTTTAAAATCAAGAAAATCCCTATAAGAGTAAGAGTTGAAAAAAATAATTAACATCCACCGATTGTCAGTGTTATGGATGAGTATTTGTCGTCACCTCTACCTAGGTGACTGACTAGTGTCCAATGAAAGATGTTAAGGTGTTTATGTAGTTCCCCGTATCATCCAGATATCGATCTATGGCGCTGCTAAACGAATCTGAACCTGTATGCTACAGCCTCATGACATGATGTTCGGTACTTTCATCTTGTTAAACTTTGTTTGGCTTAGAAATATTGAGGAAAGGTGTAGAGTGTTAGGGTAGTAAATAGGGAAAGTCTGTCAAGCTTTAGAGGTGCCCTAACTAAAATCTGGTATCAGTTCATGAAGTCCTTGACCGTTGGTGGAGGTGTAGACTGCGTAGTCAGGGTCGTTAACACACTAAAAATCAATGGCATGAAACTATCGGTGACATGGCTCAGAATAGTTCTCAGTGACGCAGACGCCTACATGCTTTATGACCTCCTATATCCAATACTCCCTCATGCATTTCCATGTAACCATTCTTTCTCCAATACTCATTAGAGTCGATTAGAATTTCTGTCTTTTTACTTTTCCCAACCTTCCTCTTTAACAATGGAATGTGGCGAATTGAACTACTGAACTTCTGTGCTAAGTTCTATGTAGAAATTTGATCAGTCAGACGGTTTAGCTAAGCTAGTTGTGATTGGTTGCTTAAGATCAGGCTTGAAACTTTGCCTGCAATCATATTTCGTTAAGAATGACTGCCCCCAACAGTCAAAGCGTTAAACCTGTTTTATTTCGGTTTTACCCCGTGAAAACATAGTTATTTCAAGATTGGTTGGAGGATTTCATCATGAGCTGACATCACCTAGAGAACCATTGGAAAACCAGCCAGGGAGTACTGCCAGATAGCTGTTCCGTCACCCTAGTTTGGGACACGCACCCACCGAAAATGTTTCGAATCCATGGCCTGCTGTTTACAAGGCCAGTGGGCTCTTAGACCATCAGGCAGCCACTGGAACCCTCCATTCCGAAGGCCAGCCCATAAATTCTAACTTTTGCCAATTCATGACATAGTGTGACCACTTCTCAATGTCTTCTTTGATGAGTTGCTGCCTCACCTTCAACCTGCTGTGTCCTACTGGTCACAGCTTCCCACTGTCCTGTATTCCCTGCAGGTTTTCCAATGGTTATCTAGCTGATGTCAGCTCATGATGAAATCCTCCAACCAATCAATCAAACAAAATCCCTACATAACTAATACATGAAAATTATTTCAAGATTCTTATGTGTAAACTTCATTCCTAACAATTCAATAAACATTCTCTGATAACAATTAACAAACAAACTATTAATATTTTAGACTCAGGATGACCCGCTGCATGATGCTGTTGGTTCAAAATACTCCGGTTTTTCAAAATTCTCCCCACATCATCATCACCATCATAACAATGGCAAACACCAGCCATCTGGAGATGGCAGTACAACTCCAGGCATATTTCAATCAACTAAAGAATTCACAAGACGTCGAATTATTATACCACCACGTCGGCGGAAAACTATTACCGGTGTAAATATAGCAAAAACCATGAATACTATTGGAAATCTAAATGACTTGATTAAAGCACCATCACCGACAGTATTACATAATGGTAAAACACTGACAATTGAGCCAAAGATAACCACCACTGGACCTAATCAGCTATCACATCTTACAAAACCACAATCAATATCTCATTTAACATTGAATGAAGATCATTCTTATCCCCCGTGTGCTTCACTGTTAACCTCATCATCAACTTCATCATCAAGATGGCGTCCATGGATTGCACAATCGCCAACGGTAACACACCCAACTAATACATGGTCAACTTCTATGCCTTATTTACTTGTACAAGTGTCTTGTGTGAATCCGAATCAAGGGAATCGTTTACAAGTATTTGTTATGAATGAAGAGACTAGTCGGTTACAAGTGTTAAGCTATCCAATTAGACCAAATATGACAGCTAGAGAATTAAGTAAGTTGGTTAATATTTTTTATAACGCACTTCTGTCGGCTCTCTCGTATTTTTTCAAATTTTTCAGTACTCATAAGAATTGAATTGAATTTTGATAGTTATTTTGTTATTCCATTGTGTTAAAGACGCCAGACACTTGAGTAGAATCCCGATGAGAAGCGATAAGTGGGTCGTCGGTGCGAGGGTGACAAAGAGGAGATCGTGTAGTGAGTAGGAGGAGGAGATGAGAGATTGTAGTCAATGGTGGACCCAGGTGAAGAGGACATTGGAAAGTAGAATGTAGTGGGGATTGGTTTTTGGGCCTTATGCTCCCCTCGGAACCTAAGTAATAATAATAATAATTTGCTATATTCCGAAACAATAAGTACTTGTGATACAGAATGGAATTCTCAGCATTTTTACTACAGTATTGCATCCAGTTAGTACATTATCAATAAATAGAATTATACATAGATTAAGGAAATCTCAGTTCATTATGACAACAACATATTGGCATGTCGGTAGCAAAAGCCAAAGCTGAACAGTGTTTGAAGGTGTTAGAAAAGTAGGTGCTGTCATATTTACTGGCGTAAGCGAGAGAAGGAAACAAAGCAGCACATAACGGAAAAAAGAGAGAGAGAAAAGGAAAAGAAAGAAAGAAAATGTTGTACCTATAAATGATATGAGTTGAAAAGACGAGATCCAGTTTCTCTACTGACTATTTATTAAGTTATAGGTATCACGCCTAATGCTTTCTTTATCGCACAGAACACGAGCTAAGTAGGGTATGGCTGAGTTTTTGTACTTGCTGGTGCGAGCATATAGTTTTCTATATAGGCTTCTGATTCTGCCTGATAAGATCCAAGGGGAGAGTTGTGAGTGAAGAGGGTGTTGTGAGTTAGATAAAATGGATTTAGCCCATTATTCACATGAGTCCATGTGCCTGTCAACCAGAATATTAACAAGCTGGTTAAGTGGCACGTTACTTACCCTGCTGACAACCTTTAACATCCTGTGTAATAAGGTATAGTCTTTCTTCAGTAGCCCGGGAAAAACTAAGGGGGAACACTAGAGAATAATAGGCAGAATGCGAGAGTTAACGAATTGTAGGAGTAAGGGTCGGGTTATACCAGAATGTCATAACTTCTTGATGTAGAAGGTAAGACTGAATATTTTTTTAGAAATCGCCAAGATATGAGACGACCAGGAGAGATCAGCAGATGGAATGACGCCTAGGTATTTAATTTCCGACTTTGTTTCTATTTCAGTGCCATCTATGTTGCACACCTAAGGGAATAATAATGCTCATAAATCTTTTCATAAAGTTTAGGGGATATCGATTTCTTGGGGAGACCATCATAAGGTATGTCTCCTCTATTCCCCACGAAACAGTAGTGTCAAAATTGTTGTCGTTTGCGATGAAGAGACATATTTTGGCGTTAAAGTTAGAAATTGTCAGTAAAGGTTTAGTTTAAGGCACTTATTTGGAACACGACTTTTTTCCCTGAATCCTGAACAGTGTTCATTATGAATAATAAACTCCAATTATCCTTTAAAACTTCGTTGTTAGATAAAGCAATAAGAAGACGTAATTTGTCTGAATCGTGCAATGTTGTATTTGTGCGCAACACATTTCGAACAATCTGATCACACAGGGACTTATCATAGGAATACACATGTGAACTTAATAAAGAGGGAAGAGGTGAGAAAATAGACACTTAAGTCAAGTTAAAAGGACATATTCAAGGTCAAAATAACAATAAAGACCACTAAACCAAATAGCAGAGGTAATAGTACATCTACTATGGTATCAAAACAAAATTTACCAAGGAAGGTTTAGTGTGGTGATGAATTGTGGCTCTGAACGCATAACGGTGGTTTAAACTTCCTCATCACTAGCTAGGGCTTCCACAAACTTTAGGATACGCCCCAAACACGTTTTATAGATACGTTTAAAAGATCTGTTAAGGTCAATTTTATGTCCTGTCTCTATAATATATTTCGCAATAGAAGAGCTAGGTCTCCTGTGCTCACCATTAATGGGTCCTGAAGATTCCATTTATTTCTGGAGCCACTTGGGAATATGCTCTGAAGCCCTTACTTGCAGAGATCGATGAGGCCTCCCTATGTATGTGTGCATACGTACATTCAAATTGGTGAATACAGTGGGATGTGACATCATGTTTCGCATGTTCGAAGGGCTTAGATAGAGATATCGGCTTCACGTTCTCAAATATTATGATATTAGCTGCATAAAAAGCCTTTTTAACAACAGTTAATATCATAATAATTGAAAATTTGAAGCCAATATTGACATTAAAACACTTCGAACATGCGAAAAATGATGTCACATCCCACTGCGTTCACCAATTTTAATGTACGTGTTTGGGGCGTATCCTAAAGTTTGTGGAAGCCCTAGTAATTAGAAAGTTTAAACCACCTTTATGCGTTCAAAAACAATTCGTCATCACACTAAACCGCTTTCCTTGGTAGACTTTGTTTTGATACCACAGCAGATGTACTATTACCTCTGCTATTTGGTTTAATGGTCTACATTGTTATTTCGACCTTGAATATGTCCTTTTAACTTCACCTAAGTAGTCTATTTTCTCATCTCTTAACTCTACATTAATTTCATATATATTCCTATGACAAGTCCGTGTGTGATCAGATTGTTCGAAATGTGTTGCACAAATGCAGTACACACACGATTCAGACAAATTACGTCTTCTTATTGCTTTGTCGAAATTCATATAGAAGGGAACTAATTTTTTTAAACTTCATTGTTGTGTACGCAAACTGTGACTGCCTACTTCACTGTCATGAGTGCTGGTCTTCGATTGAATACCTATTCTTCAGCTTGGCCACTTACCCTTCCCATTGGCTAACTCTAGAGTACTTCTACTGCTACTGTAGTGAGAGCTGTCTGCTAGCCAAAATTGGTAGACAGCAATTTACGTCAATGTTTACGTCCCAAATCTTGGTCATGAGAAAAACAAGAACAAAGACTTTGAGTGGCTGGATACGATTCACAGATATATGGTCTGACCTGCAAAGGAAGGTCCACAAAGAGATGACAAAATAAACTTCAGCAAGAAAACAACCGATCGGAAGACGCTTTTTCTCTGCTAACAATAACGCAAACAATAATGTACATAAAAATCTAAAAATATCTGCAGATTTTCTCAATAAACGATCTGTTGCCTGGCCCTTGTCTTCTGTCGTTACACTACTACATAGATCCGACATCAGTGAACCTAAGACGTTCGAAAACAGAGTACAACACAAACCCTGCAGATCACACATTGTGATCCGAATAACTTAGATCCCCAAATGAAACCACGATGAGATTTCACTTAGGACCATGTAAATTAGAAGAAATAAAGAATTAATATTTGAACTGAGGATTTGATCCAATGTATTGTCAATTTTCCCAAGTATCTAGTCCAAATTCAGATGATTTGACCTCATTCAGCTTTGTCAGCTGGGTTAACCCTGGTACTCTGCTGATGAATTTGGGGCCAAAACATTCGTTCTGTGCGAATCGTGCATAACTAGTTCGCGCTACTGTCCAGCTAGCCGGAAATCCAGCAGCTTGAAATGATTTGCCTCTGTTAGCAGAGTCTAACCTGACTCACAGCTAGTGAGCTCTGCTTCAAACTAACAATACGGCTGTCCAATGTTTAAATCACTCTCGATCAAACTGGCTAGCAAGCACTTCTGTTTGGTGTGTGAGTGAAATCCAACTACTTATTTCAGTTTTTCAGTAGTATGTATATATACCATCATGCAATTTCCTGTATTCGTTTGTTTTTTATATCTGATTTTTTGCTTTTTCACACAACTCATGTAAGTGTTCTTATTGTATTGATTTCACGTTTTGTTCTCATTTTCTGCCTTCCTTCTCTCCTTTCGTCCTCTAGACAATCTGATCGCATTTCAAATGAGAATATTCGATTCCAAAGATTTTGGATTATTCGCTTACATTAATGGAACAGGTAATTAACATTTTCACCTGTTTTAAATTAATATGAGATAGTGTAACTAATCAATCTTATCATAGTCCCACAGTTCTACTTTAGATATATCCAACCTTCGCCGGCTGGCTCCATACTGGGGATCAAATGGCCGGTCAGAAATAATTAGCCAGGAGAAACTCTGGCTGGCACCAAACCAACCAAGAGCCGATCGCTCAACAAATATGCAGGGGAAAATGGAGATGGATCGGCTATGCATCACTGAGGACAACATCGAATAACATCGCGCTTGATGCAAGCCATCGCTCTAGGGGAATCCTAATGGGAAGTGTCGAGTGGGTCACTGGTACGAAAGTGATATGAAGGAAATCGTGTGAGTTGAAGGAGGAGATGACAGATTGTGGGCAATCATGAACCCAGTTGAAGTGGAGGACAGAAAACAGAACAAAATGGAGATGCTCTGTTGAAACCCTATGTTTCACTTGGAACGCAAGGGAATAATAAAATTAAATAAATAATTATAGAGTTTATGCAGATTTAAGGGATTTCAAGTCAAAATTTCATCACGAACGATAACATCAGCTAGAGAAACATTAAAAACCAGACAGCTTTTTGCGGGGATGTCATTATTTAACAGAAGTAATGATTCATGAATTACTTCATTACTCCGATCGATTAGCTAGATAGCAACATCCTCATCTGGAAGATTGTTTTCTCGACGCATGAAGAGGGAGGGGTCATGAGTACATACTGCCGAATGGATCCAAACTCGCCGATTTTCAGAGGTTTTCTAATTAAATTGGTGGTATATACTACTGGCGGATATGAGTGGTTGAGCAGCACTCACACAAATCAGTCACATATAAGTGATATTAGATAGTTGGAGACACAGTGGTTAGGACTCTCACCGACCATGCACATGGTCCCGGGTTCAATCCCCTGCCGACGCACACCTGATATCAATGGTCGGCCTGCAAAATTTGGGCTACCGATATCACTTGCTGAAAATTCCATACTTGTACCAAAAAATACGGTGTGGAACCAAGATTCAATCAAAAAAATCGTCAGGAAGCCCTGCATGACCTAGGTTTCGTGCTAGTTGGCACTCGTCAGTAAGACGTATCTGCAATCTTGAAGGAACTCATGTCCCTTTTGAGATTCGATCGTCTGTGAGTGCAGCACTGGGTGACGTGGGTTCAAATCTCAGAAAGGACATGAGCTGTCCCTTCAAGGCTGCAGATACGCCCTGCTGACTGCTGACGGCCAACTAGCACGAAACCTAGGTCATGCAAGGCTTCCTGTGGCCGACTGACTCCAACCATCTAATATCAACAAATGAAAGTGCACTGAGATGACAAGCCACCCTAGTATAGCGGCCACATTGCAAACCTGACTGATAGCATTCAGTCTGCACTGAAGAAAGGACTAGATACATCGCACTAATTACTAACTAGTGTCCAATCAAAAGTGTAGGTGAACTTAAGAACAGTGAGTAGTCATTATACTCATGGAGATCACATGAATATGAATAGCAAAAACAGAAGTGCTTGACGTCAACAGTTTCCATCCACTCGTATCACTCAATCAACCACTTAGTAAGTGACCGCCATTTACGGCATCAAGCAGCTAACATATTAGGACCTGAATATTTATGGTCGAGATTTCTCACTTTAAACTGAGTGTATCTAAATATTGCAAATTTAATTCTCCAAATAACCTTGATGAGTTACAGGATTTTCATCATGAGCTGACATCAGTTAGAGAACCATTGGAAAACCTGGGAGTACTGGACAGCCGTTTCGTCCTAGTTTGGGACTCTTTATCAGTACTCACCCAGCTCATGATGAAAATCCTGTAACCAATCAAATCCTTACAAACCAACACTTGAAAATCTTGATGAGTGTTTGTAACTCTGAAATCGCTATACTCAAATATTGATTTCTTCCATTTCCTATCGATTTTTCCTTTTCTTTCTTTAAGAAATCCAATTGGAAGATGAATTACACATGGCTGAATTTACAAATACAACTTCAGATATCCTACAGTCAGTACACACGCTTCCAGACACCAACAATACAAACCAAACGACAATAGCAACAACAACAAAAACAACCACAACACCATCACGTTCACAAACAGACACATTGAATTCAATCAAAGATCGTGAATCTCATCCATTCAAAAGTCATGCCTCTATCAGTTCACGTTCTGAATCAACAACAACTAGCAGTTCATGTGGTGAATCACGTTCACAGCAAACAACAATACAACGTATTCGTAAGTCTAGTAAATCACGTCCTGCATGGTGGATAATGTGTGGATCAAACAGTCAACAAACACAAAAACACCAACAGGTGAATCCATCAATTGAAAATTCAATACACATAGAGGTCACTGGTAGAAATCAAGATGTTGGCAAGCATAAACCAATTTTAGTTTATCGACGAAAATCAGGATATTTCGCCTTATCAGATCGTTTGTTAACTGGAATGAAATCTGTTCAACAACAACAACAAACTTCAGGATAATAGTCACCATCATAGTTTTTTGTCAACCTTGAAATCTTAAGCATTTGAATGAGAATTAAAAGATTTTCTTAATATTAAAATGATAACATTACCATCTAGCCCTACTCCAAATATTTTGCTTATAAATTTGACCTACTTGCAAAATAATTCAGTAGTGTAAAAGCTAATTAAAAAATATTTTTAAATTGTACGAATCAAATCAGTCATTTGTGAATGGGAAATTCTCTAGTAAATATGCATTTATTTGAAATCAGATATTTTTCTTCTTTTTTTCTCTGTTTTTTCCTTCATTTCTGATTGTTTCTTGATCCCTTTTCTATTGAAAAATGAATCAACCTATTGTAATCAAAATGAAACTGCTCTTTTATTTTGCATGATAAGACTGTAATAATCTTACTCTATTCATATACATAGTATGGTATGATTTAATTAGCTATTTCCCTTAACTATTTGATTTTCTGTTTCTTTGCTATTTCTGTCTCTCCCTTTTTTAAAAATTGAAATTTGAATTTTGAAGTAAATAAATAACTTTCAAGTGTTGATATTTTTTGTAGGGATTTTGTTGGATTGGTTGGAGGATTTCATCATGAGCTGACATCAGTTAGAGAGCCATTGGTAAACCTGGGAGTACTGGACAGCTGTTTCATCCTACTTAAGGACTCTTCAACAGTACTCACGCATGGACGGGGTTGGAACCCAGGACCTTCTAGTTACAACTCTAGCGAGCTCGTAGACCGTTAAGCTACTGGCTCCCGATCCAATGGCCAGTGCATGAATTCTAAATTCTGTGAATTCATGATATAGTGCGACCACCTCACAATGTCTTCTTCAGTGAGTTACTGTGTCACCTCACTTACAGGAATATCTGAGTTCCTCTATTCTAATTCTCATTTGGCACTTAATAACTGTAATGTTTTTGCCGATAATATTTGTCTGATTTCCCACAAACTGGAAGATATGCAAGTGAAAAGCAACAAGTTGGCTGAAGAAGCATCTAGAGGATATAGGACTTCCTTCAGGTGAACATGGAGAAAACAGAGTTGGTGAAGATTCCTGGTCGACTGCAACAACAACAACTGACAACAATCAGCCAGTATAAATGGGAGAAATCTGAAAGAAGCAACCTCCTTCATCTACCTACCTACCTGGGAAGCATCATTTCAGCGATAGCCTGACGGTACTGATGAGGATATCAAAGCGAGGACTGGAGTAGCAAGGCAAACTCTCATGACTCTCAAGTCTGTGTGCAGATCAACAGCATTCAGCATGAAAAATAAGATTCGGATTTTCAACCACAATGTGAAGTCAGTGCTACTCACTATACAGATCAGAGACTTGGCGCCGCACCACGCCGCGTCACGAAGGCCACTTTGAACAAACTACAGACCTGCATCAACTCAAAATCAGATGGCCGGCCAGAAAAGATCAGAAGTAGGGAGGGATATCTGGGGGCTAACCGACTCAGCAGGAAGAGATGGAGATGGATTGCCTGTTCTCTGAGAAAACAAACCATCAGCCAGCCCATCTCTCGAGTGGAACCCAAATGGGAAGTGGCAAGGTTGGTCGTCAGTGTAAGTTTGAGGTGACATGGAGGAGGTAATGTGAAGAGGAGATGAAAGCATTTCGGCAGACGTAGACCCAGGTGAAAGCGTTGTCAGAGAACCGAAATCATTAGTGACGTGCGGTTGAAGCGCTATGTTCCTCTAGGAATAAAAGGAAACAATAATAATAACCCTAATGTTTCAGCATGAATTTTGCTCCTATCACATGTCGTATAATGCTACAGTACTGTTGAAGTAAATATGAAGTCGTAGAGCGTGTTACACACTGTTTCACTTATTTAGTGATATCTGTCTGTCAATCAGAGCAGGTGTATACTGCTCAGTATTTCTCTTTCTTCACTTGTTATCCGTTAGAGATATGACGATTGAAATTTGAGAATACGAGAATTCTAGTTGTCTCTGACCCCAATGTGATATACACCTAGTTTTGTCTAATTTTCCCTAAAACCTTAAATAACCATTTTAAGGAATTATCGTGCAATGGCGTGAACTCTTTGTATTTCCCTCTGTTTGGATTGTTGGATTCCTATTGGCTGTTAATACTTTTAATGAGCCAATGAGCAGTTGCATTTTCAAGCTCATTTGAACTGTATATACACAGAGTTTCTGTGTAGCATTTTGACTGTTGTCTGAGACAGTAAAAGCTGCCTTTACGATATTCAGCCTTTTCTTTTGTCTTTGCGTGTGGTACTGTTGTTGTTGTCGTACGATTAGGACAGATCAACCAGCACATTAAAGTTAGTATTCGCTCATAGTCTACGAGGTCGTAGTTGCGGTCATAACACAGAGATCTTTGGGTTCTATCTCTGGTGTTAAGTGGCACAATATGGTGAGAAATATTGAGCTGACGCATAGAGGGCTTGGACAGGAAGAGTTATGAGTGCTGCATCAACTGAGGTAGATAGGATACGCATATTTCGCATACCGATGA